ATTAAGTGAAGTAATTGAGAAAAATCAATCGGTATTTCAAATTTAAAAAGTAAGAATAATATAATTTTATATTAATAAAATAAAATAAAATTTTATGTTAAATATTAACTTTTTATATGTGTACGCTAGAGGAAGAGATGTCATTTATTAGAATAAATAAGTAGTAATTTAACAGTGAGTTTGATTTGGCATAGTTTCATTATTAATAATACGCAATATTTTACGTGTTCGATTAATTAAACAATCTTGACTGATCGTTCACCAGCGGATCTGTTCTATCTTCTATCCAAGACTTTGATTAACACGCCTTATCATATAACAAAATGCGTATGCCATTGTAATAAATTATTAATCTAATTCTTGCGAGCGATCAGACTATCTCTGTTAAGAAGCAACCTTCCATAAGTCAATTCCACAGCGAAAGACCGGTAGGTCTAACGATAAATCTCCAAGTTTCTTTCCTTCTTTCCCTCTTTTTGTCTCTCTCTCTCTCTCTCTCTCTCTCTCTCTCTCTCTTCGCTCCATTCCTTGCCACTATGTCGACCAGGAATTCGATTGGCAGTGCATTTACTGGCGACAGGGATATATCCAGGTCCGAGAGATCGTGCCGACGTCCTGGGAGAACGAAGACGCCCACAAAAGCATTGCGGAATCTACTTACACCCTCCCTAGATCTTTTCGCCTTTGCTCTTTCTTCCTCTAGGCCGTCGACAACTTGGCGGGACCGACGTACCAGATATTTCCGATACGATACGTACCGTCGACTCGGGCAGAGAGCCGGACGGCAAATTCGCGCCGCGCTTGCAGGAAGCAATTTCGCAATTTTCCTCCTTGACTTTGTCATCTTCGCTTTGCTATTCGCCTTGGCGAAATAGAATTTTCCCAGGTCGAGACGGGAAGCATGGCGGGGACAGCTCGAGTGCAGCCTCTACATCGACGTGTCTTCGAAGAATTTTCAGAATCGCTTCTTCCCAAGGGACGTCTCCCTTCGGCGTCTTAAGTGTCGTTGTATGGGTATATGTAGACGTATACGCATACGCGTACTAGTTCGAAAGAACGCTTCTCTTTTTTTTTTCATACTTCAAGCAAAATCGATTCTCACGCTGTTATTTAAGCGATTATGAAACGACTAACATGAAACATTATCATTACTTATTTTTCTAAGGTCTTGAATGAAATATTACTTGTGTACTCAAGTAATAATAATGTAATTATTTTAAAGCGTTAATAATATTAAATTTTTATGTCTAGAAATTTTGCTATAATTTTCAAAGTGCAAATTTCAAAAAGTGAAACATTGAATTCAAAAGTGTATATGCAAGTTGATATGCAAGTTTTTAGCGGTGGCAACACGTATTACAAACGTGATGTAGCCCGAGGGTATTACGTCTGCAATGGCACGAGTAAGCTCTCAAAATACGTCAGGTCTTCGACGTCATAAATGTTCTCTTGTAATCACGAATAATCAGACTTAAAAACTCAACACCTAAAGTTCATCGCACAATAAAGTTTTAATCTCTTTGTCAATTTTCAAAGTCAAATCTGAACTAAAAAAAAAAGAGATCGCGATAGATTAATATTTTCCAAGGAAACTAGTCTCTTTTAAAGTCAAAGCAGAAAAAATACTGCCTGATAATCATTCCGATACGATTTCGCGCATTCTATGTGATATAATATAGAGCGAGCCGACGAATTATATTAGAGGCAAGACGGAAATTGCTCGTCGCTTCACGTCGGACACGTAGGGGGATCGAGAAAATCGGCGTGAATCATATAATTGTTTGATGGCTACGACTACCGCTAGCTCTAGACCAGCCCGGACACATTCTTGCGAGCCCCCGAGAAGACGACCCTTATATTTGCCCGGGAGGAAAGGATCACCACGAAACGCCCTTAACTACAGCGTGTCGTCGACGTTAGTGTTGTACGCTTGCCACCCCCGGTAATCTCCGTGACATCAAACATTTTGTACGATCAACTCAACGGGGAGATACCGGCCCATGCTGACACAATGATAAAGTATGCCGATACCAAGAGTCGATCTTCAAAGTATACATCCTTTCGCGAAATAAATCCTGGGGCGTGCAGTTTATATTTTAATTGAGCTTCTTTGCTCTTTTTTAGTCCAATTCCATAAAAAAGCTCTAAAATAAAATTTTAATTAACTTAAGTAATTGTTCCTTTTTACTTTAAAGCTCAGTAAATTATCAAAGTCATCGCCATTAAATTATTATATAATTATCAATTATCGATTATCATAATTAAGGTTTGAAATTTGTAATTTAAAACTTATTATAAGTTATTTGCTAGTTTGTTAAACGGACATATTTGCTGGGATTGTATTGGAAAATGTTCTTTGCGGGACATCGGACAATCTGTGTTCCCGGTCCGAACGGAAATTGATCGCATTCGAGACGGAAATTTCTCTTCCGAGATATCCGGACTTGGGGAAAGGTTCGCGAGACGCGCCTTACCAAAGCTTTCACAGTTATTATCCTCGAGATACTTGTCGTTTAAGAGATTCGAATCAAGGTCGAAACAAGCCGTCTTGGTACCCCGGACAATACAAAAAAATATCTATTAAAATAATGAAATATCTTTTTTTATGATTACTTACACTTGAGATATGCAAAATTTTCCTTTAGAAATCAAAGCCTATCAAAAGATATTCCATAATTAAAATGCAATATTCAATTACAATTAATGTATTACAATTAATTTAGATGAAATAAATGAAAAGGTTTAAATTAGAAGAAAATTAAAAGTCTTGAAGAAGAAATGCGCTGAACGTTTTATTCCGATATAATAAGCCAATGAATAAAAATTATATTTTTGTATGGCACCTTATATTTTAACCCACCCCTGATTAGAGCGATATTGCGGCGATGTGCGCCAGAGAGCGGTGATTGTTTGCCGAGTGGTAAAAGCATCGTTTTCTGTTTGTCCATCTTTCCACTGCCCGATGCTTTCGTACATATACGTTGTGTTTCTTCTCACACGACCGCTTTCATATCGAAAGTAAAAATTGAATGTAATATAACGATGTAACCTCGAAAAAGTCTCTTCTTTTATCAGTTTTTTTTTTATTTTAATTAATAAATTAATAGGAGAGAGTAATCAATATTAATTTCGATTGAAAAAAAATTGTTGAAAGAATTTTATCAAAGAATTATTAAAGGAAATGAAATAAATAGTGCGTTAACAATGCAATGCGATTGCAGTGCAATTAGAATTAATGGAACCGAAGGCAATTTCGACGTATTACATTGCCTGACTGATGTTAATGCACGAGCGCCTGTTGAGGCGAAAATTGCCTCGAATCTGCCCTAAGGATGTATCCGCTTGTAACGAGCCTCACCCTTCGATAATCCCAGTAGGTTGATCATTTTCCTCTAACAATCTTTCTGCCGGGTGACCAGTGTAAACAAAATGAAGATATATAAGATACAAGATTACTCGAAATTTTGTTGTGCAGAATTTTTCTAGCAACTTCTTGGCGAGGAATGTTCTACTCTCTCAGTTTTTTGCTTCGTCGCCATAAGTTCACAGACGAAAGAAGCATAATTACTTTCTCGACGGAATTAAAGAAGAGAGAGAAAGAAAGAGAGAGAGATAGCGAAAGAGAGAAAGAGAGAGAGAGAGAGAGAGGACGGAGAGACGCGTTTCTCAATCCATGAGCCTTCCCATTCACGATAACGGATCAGCCGCGGGAAAGCATCTTATACCAGGTGATCGCGCTACCTAATTCCCCGAGAGTTCTTTGATACGTCGTCGAAGGCCCGCACAAAGGAAGAAATAAGTATCACCCGGTGATAATCTCGGATCCGCGATGTGGGACACACATCCTTGCCGAAGAGTCCGCGCCCCCGCGATAATTCGACACGAGTATCCTTGAATCCCAGCGATGGTTAAATTTCACATCCGAGATCTCGGCGGTAAGACTCGAAAAGCGATAGTACGAGAATTGTTATAGAGAATACGAAACGGAGAAGGGAAGATACGTGGTGTTCGCGATATTTTGAGGGATTTTCAAGTTTAGCTATTGCCGTGTAAGTAAAAACCGAATGATAAAGAAGAAGAAGACAAAACAAAAAAAAAATGAAATAATTATCTTTAAAATGTTTTTTCACGGAAACAGAAAGAGAGAGAAAGAGAGTTACAACAATTTCTAAAAATTGTTTGTAAAGAATTCTGCTTGTATCACGTATGGAATAATATGCGAAATTTAATCATCTCCCGCAATCTCCCATGTCTCTACTGTCAAACTGTTCGGAGGGGGAGGGGGGGGCTTGGTCCGGGGTGACGCAAAATCGCCATTTCCGAGATATCAAACGCAGACTCCGTTCCAAGACAAAGTCCGGGACGCGCCTTTTTGATCGCGTCCGTTTCGCTCGCAATGTCGTTTATCCGAACGTTTCCTCTCGTTCCCCATGCTCCTCGTTTTCCAGATGGACCGTTCACGTGAGAGAGGAGACCTCTCTCTTGACAGTCGCGGATGGACGGTCGCGCGAAACGACTCGCTTCGTTTATGCATTTCCGCTCGGCCGGTTTGCACGGGTCTCCGCCGCGTCGTTCCGCACGCGTTTCCCGATCCCCTTCAAAGGAAACCGCAACGCGGAAACGGTCAGTGTCGTCTAATGATGTGGTCGAACTGCTCTCGACGAGCGTCGAGAGACGAGCCACGGCAAACCGGTATTCGATTGTCGCGTTTGCAAGCTTATCATGCTCGTGCTACAAGCAGATTCCAGACTGAAGAAATAATAATTTATTCCTTAACGATGCGATCGATTCGCTCGATTGTACTTATAATTTATCTATCGCTGATTCCTACCTTGCTACAAATAATAATTGCTAATATCGCTTGTTCGAATCAACGATTATATTTTATCAAAATTAATAAGACAAACGTATTTTATTTAAAATGTAATGTTCATGTTTACGCACAATTAAAATTATTCTTGTAATTAATTTTAATTGCGAGAGATAAACGAGCTAGAAAATATCGTCAAATGTCCAAATTTACTAAATTGAATTGTATAATAAAAGTGTAATTAAAATAATGTCTTTTTTTTACATTATTATACTTATACGTGGATTCGTATCTAAATCAACAAAAAAGATGTTGACGTCTTAATTCGCAATCTTCAATGTCGGAGTCCGATAGCGATAAGAGCGATGGCGTGGAGATACTCGTGATTCTCTCATCTTCGTTGAGCTGTCGAGACGAACTGAAGAAGTCGCAGCGAGTATCGACGAGACATTCATTCAGTTTGCAAGCGCTTGACAATATATCCCGAGACTGAAGGAATCATTATTACGAATTAAATTAAATAAAAAATTAATTTCGACAATTATAAAAAAAATCGATAAACCTTTGGATTATTTTAAAATTACGCTAGAAAGAGAGATCTTGAGATTTCTATAAACTCGTGAATACGTACGTGATACGCGTCTCTCGCCTTGAGTCTCATCTTCGCCCTTCTCTCGCAAAGTATCAGATTCTTCGTGAGATTCCTCACAACGTCATTCACTTTCCGATCGAGCGTGTCATCGGTGCAACTGCTCTCCGAATCAGAATCGACAATTGACGACTTGTCGAGCTTTTTGGCGCAGCATTTCCTTTTAAACTCCGGTTTACCGATGTCGAAGGAGCTCTCAGGGGGGTAGAGATCGATCAAAGACGAACTGAACACACCCGAATCTGTCGAACCAACGTACCTCGACAACTTTGACGTTTCAAACGTGGAATCGGCCGCGTATCGTTTCTCAGGTTCGAAATACGATTCTTTCCCTTCTCTCTTACTCGCTCCGATAATGCGACGTTCGCAATCATATATTTTATTGTCCGCGGAACCTTCTCGATCTTCGGATATCTCAAACGTGTCGATCGGTTCGTTCATCGTTTCGATTAAACATTTATTTGACGGGGTGTATTGCGCGGATGGATCACGCCGCGCGATGTATTCCGGGTTGGAATACGAACGACCTAAATTTGAGTCCAAGTTCGAAAGTGAGTTCAGACTTAAGTTTGAATAAGAACAATCATAGTAAAGATAGTTTGAACGTGAACTCGAATCAATTGTACTCTTATTTACAGTCTCAACAGCAGATTTGTTTTCGTTCTTTGTGGACGAAATCAGGCTTGGAATCCGCATGCAAGAGAAATATTTAGAAATTGTGGAATTTTTGCTCAAGTATTCGCTCATAACGTCAGTCGATATCGGGTTACAAAATTGCGTTGAATCGAAATTTGTTGATCTCGATGCAATCATCGGCATGGACTTAGATTTTTTAACCCTCATAAGTGATATCACATTTTCTGAACTGGGAGCTACATCATAAAACCGACGATGGAGATTACTACTTTTTTGAGAAATAGTAAAAAAATCTTCCGTGTCGTTTTCGCTCTTCTCAGACGGAGGATCGTCAAAGTCTCTGTCTATCCTCTTCTTAATGTTTTCCAAGATGGCCACCTCGCCTATCTTCTCCTCGACGATTTTCTTGCGATATCTCGCTTCTTCCAAATCAGCAAGTCCCGCAGTTAAGTCTCTCGTATGTTTATCATCCCTTGAAATTGCAAAATCATTTTTCGGACAAACTTCATCGAAAGATTCATTTTCAATCGAGAATTCTTGAAACTCGTCATCGTCATCCTTTATTAAATCCAAGTCGGAGGGAGTGCGTTTGACGAAGCGACCTTTTACTTTCGTCTTACTCTTGAAAGTTTTATTTGAAGGATGAACCATCTCCTTTATCGCGAACGCTCGAGCGGAATCACATCCGAAAAAAAAGTGTGGAATCTTTTCAGGATTTCCCGTCGAGGCAATGGTATTCTTTGAGACTGTTCCATTATTAAGATTATCAATGTGCGATATCTCTTGCGTATGTTTATTTCGGTCATTTCTCGATTCTCCGGTAGTTCTTTTAACATTTAATAAATCGCCCTTTTCCTCTAACATATTTTTTCCTTTCGCAATTGTCGACCTACTCTCATCCCGTATCGTATTTACTTTCGTGTCGACGCATGTCGATGAAAAGTGTCCTCCACAATTTTCTGGATTACTTCGCAAATTCTCGTCGCTGCAGCAGGTTTCCCGTAACGTTGCCGTTATCTCCTCTATCTGCCGATTCACGGCCGTGAATTTATTGATATACTCGGCGCGCTTGCTCTCCAGAAGTCGAACACATAGCCACGGTTCATCACGATGGCTTCTTCCGCTTGAGTTATGCAAACCCGTGGCGATTGTCTGACTCTCGTCATCGCAATGTTGGCGATGACAAATCTTCTCGGTCATTAACCTCGATCTCCTCTTTGTTTTTCTTCGCCGTAAACTCTTTCTGCTCGAAGTTTGAATTTGTGCATCTTTAGTCATGCAAGAATTAACGCATTTGTGGTTTTTTTTTACAGGGAGATTTTTAAAGTTGTCACGAATAAAAGAGCAATCGCCAGAAGTGTAATCGTTTTGTAAAGTATCTGATGTATCGCCATCTTCCTTCCTTTCAATATATTTATATGATTGATCACGATGGGAATCATGATTACTTTTTTTATTCTGATCACATCTAGAGATAATCTTTGCGGAATCTGTACAACCGATTATCACTGTTTGGTGATTTGTGTGCACTTCAAAAGATATATCCGCTGATAAGTTTGACTGTGCATCCCAATATTTGCACATGATTGGCCTGAAGTTGTTACAAATATATTCTTTAATATAACGATAATATAAAATTACAATTATTCTTTAATTGATACTATAATTATTAATATTATTATTATTTTATCATAATTAATATAATAAAAACTATGTTTACAATTATTAAAACCTAAATTGAAACGCCTAAAATCGATGCTGTCACAATAAACTTATATAAAATATTTTTAAAGTACGTTAATTATATTTTAAAAAATGTCTCCTTTGCACATATTTTTAAATACCAAATATAAAATTTATTAAGATAAATGTTATCACCTGCGAATAATATTAAGACGTTTCTTAAAGTTTCTTATTGCATCATATGAGCTTGAGAGACCATCGTTTTCGCTCAAATCTTTCGCGAAATGCAAACCAATAGAGTAGATTCTGGGGGCTTCCAAAACGAAACTTCTTTTATCATGTCGCAACATATTATATTCACCGTTATAATCGCGTTGATTATCGCAAAGATATCTCGTTAAGAATTCCGGACGCCAGTTTCGACGTATTCGTATCTGCGACATAAAATTGCTAGGATATCGAAAGATGTTCTTCAATTGCTCGATCACGAGTGACACTGATGTTTGAACTATCTTGAATCTCTTACGTGGAGATTTACGCAATCGAAGTTGCGTATCTTGAGGGACATTGCTCTCACGCCTACGAGATAATGCGAATGCAAATTAATAGAGCTATATGAATTTTTTGTTTTTAATATATCTCCTATGTCTATTCTAATATTAAATTTTTATCCGATTTCTTTAGATTATTAATTTGCTAGGATTAATCTTCAGGATTGATTAATCTCTCATATATATATATATATATATATATATATATATAGCTTATATATATGTTAATAAACTTACATACGTCCAACCTTGAAGAAGTTTGAAGATAAATATTCATTTTCAGTATCTTCAAGACCCATGACGTCATTCATTCACTATAGTTTTCAACTTGTGCACGCATAATAACTTTCTCCAAATAAATAAAATGTATCTTCTTTTACATTACGTATTGTGATTTCTAATATTTGTATGTGTGTGTGTGCAATCTTCATGTAATTCGTTCTCTAAAAAATCGAATGATATTTTAAATCTTAGAAATAAGATCAAAATATAACAAACCTGTAAAAATACAGACAATACTCAAGGCAAATGCAATTATATGCATTTTAGGAAATATACGGAAGAAAGAAATATGATAAAAATATAATAACCTCTTTGCGAGTTTTATTCAATTTTACGTCTTTTCAAACATAACATGATCTGACATTTCTTTAAATAGCATTCGTGATTAATAGAAAAGTGTGAGTTTGGAGTTTTTAATCATTGTGGATATAAGATGATTTAATCTATATTATTTGACATAACAGTAGGTTAGTTTGCTCAAGCATGAAATCCTCATTATTCGAAAATTATTATTCCAATACCTGTCGGTCGCTGATTTATTCCTACATGAATTTCACAATACAGATTTGAACTGTAATTTGATAAAGAGGAAAGAAAAACTGCGCAATCTGTCAAAATTATGTCGATATGTCTAAACCGTGTCGTGAATCGCTGACGTTGTGAAAAATCTCGATTTCGAATAATAATCATCGAAATTTAAACAGCACAACATTTTGTAAAAATATATATATATATATATAAAAGCAAGATATATAAACATATTATAAAATAACAAAGGATAAGATGTAATATAAGTTTAAAAATATAATAATTTATTTTGGCCCTAATAGATTGCTCAGTCTTCTTCCACAAGAAGAAAGAAGAAAATTTAAATATTATTAGCGCAATCGATGTCTCATTAAAATGCGATCGTGAGGGCTATTCCGCGAAGGGATGCGCAGACTGCTATGAAATTCTCTCTAACCATTTACAATCGCCGTAGTGTTAAGTCATGTACAACGGAATGCTTTATCACATAGCAGAGCTAATTAGTCTATGCATTTAATGAAGACCATCCCTGACTGTCTCTTTCATGTATCACACATTATTGTGCACAGCGTTCCGTTTCTATCAAGGCTAACTTTTGACACTGAAGAAAATTTATAATAGAACAAATTTATGATTTTTTTTTCTACAATTAAAAAATAATTATTATAAAAGTAAAATTTTTAGAAATTAGCGATTAAGTTTTCTAAATTAATTCTCTGAGCAATTTCGCAATGCATATCAACTATAATTTTCCTTGTATCGCACTGGAATCATTATTTTAAACATGAAAAAAATAAATTGCAGAACCTTGTGGCAATTTATCGATTAATCGTTTGTAACTTTGCGATCAAATTTACCATGCGTATAAAATTTGAATCGGATGCGATTCGACTATTACGGATATTTGGAGAAACCTTTCGTCACATTAGGGTACATTCGCGTGGTTCATTGAACGACTGCTTTCGTGTTCAAGTTCGTCGCTTCGCCGCCCTGCCCGCCTTTGCCCTCCGACTCTTGTTACCGCCACCCTCCTTCCTCACTTTTAACCGCGTTTCGCCTCCTCTTCCGAGCACTTGTTGCATGTCCGTCCACCCTCGAGAGATCGAGAGATCGTTACTACCGAAGTTCCGGATGCTGGTCAGAAAATTAAAGCCATGAGAAAATCGATTCGATCGAGTGACGATGGTCGTATAATTCTCTCAATTTAAATTTCTTTTCTTCTCGATTATACTTATGTAATGTATAAAAATTATAATTTGCATTTACAAAATTTTTTTTAACAGTAAATGCGATTTAAATCACGATTTTGTGAATTTCCCGTAGTGGAATTTTCTGCGGCTTTGATTTCACCGAGTCAGCAAATTTCTCGTTTCACAACACCTATTTGATCGCTATCTGGGAGGGTCAAGACGCGTGCACGCAAAAATACGTGTACGCGAGAGAAGCGTGCGCATAAACGCACCTCATCGCACTTGATTGCACGAGCGATGAAATTATTAACGTAAATACCGGTGTGTGCGCGTGTATGCAGATCGCGTTCGATTAGTACAATCTGGGTTACAGTCAAAGGTTGAACACGCGACAATTGTTCAGGACGCCTGACTTTTCATCCGCCACACTCGCCAATGCTTTTAAAGGTCATTGCGTTTCTCGAAAGACCTTGCAAAAAAATTCTATCGTTCATACCACAAAATTATTATTCCAAAGGGGAAAGAATTTCAAAAAATCAGAAATTTAAATTAAACCTTGCATATGGGTTCAAATTACATTATTATTATATATGTAAATTTGTAGTCACATTTTGTATATCCGAAATTTAGCTTTTCGCATAAAAATGGAGAACATAAAAGATTAGTTTTAGTCTTGAAAATATTTTTTGTATTAAAAAGCATAATAATTTATCAAATCAGCTCTAGAAATATTTCTTATGTATTTTACAGACGGAACTTCAGTTTCGGAAATTCAGTTTTCTATTTATTGATCGTGTCAAGCGAGCTTCAAATTGAACGTTGTTATCGTTCACGAGTGACAGGAAAATTTCTTCTTTCTTGCAACTTTCCGATCTCTCCTTAAGCAAGGGATGCTTTTTAAAGCAAACTCATTTACATACGTCTAACTTTCGCGCTTTCGCGTTTCATGCATGCATTCTTCGACTCGGAACTCATTTGTGAAATAAGAATTTCCAGCTCTCTGTTTCTTTGGTGACACCGAATAAAAAAGTCAATTCCGAATAAAAATATGTTATTTTGTGAAGACAATAAAAGTTTCTTACAAGATTAGTGACGTACGAGTGCTTATTTATTTAGGACCTCGATAAAATTTATCTTTCATATGTTTCTAATATAATTTTTTTAGTAATATATAGTATAGGTATAGATAATCATTATAGTAATCATTACAAATATAGATAAACGTAAAAAGATTAATTCTATACGGAAAATCGTGCAAAGTCAATCCGATATGATATTGCGCGTCGTGCCTATACTTTCCCTCAATTTCCTAGTAAAAAGAAGAAAAGAGCAGGGGAAGTATGCTTTGTGGTCAACGATAATGCGTTTCCTGGTAAGTAATTACTCCTACAAACGTATACGCGTGTGCATCCTTCCAATAATCGAATAATCAAAACGACGCAGCGACATTGTGTCACTAAGGGAAAATTTTATTCCAAATTGATTTAAAAAAAGTTTAGAAATTATTCTAACAAACTAATAAGCAAAAAATGATTGTTAAATCGATCATCTTTCAAAATACTCATACACCACGGCACTTATCGTCACTTTTAACATCTTTTCATAATAAAAGAAAAACTATTATTAATAACTTTTCAAAGTCAAATGCATCTCGATGACTTTAATGATGTGCGAAATTTATGTATCTTCGCAGATTGAATATTGTCTAAATACAAACATAAGAAAAACAATTGACCGGAAGGAATTTTTTTCTTTAAAAAAATGTCATAAATCGCTCGTCTATTCACGGGCGTAGGGTAATGCGGAAAAGAAGTTGAATGAAGTGCAGCGATGGGGTGTTGTTATGTTATGCGAGGTATGGGAGCGTACCGACACCCTCGACACCCGGAGCGTTCTCTGACACTTGGCCAGCCGAGGGTGCTCGTCCCTTTTTTTGTGCCGCCCAATGGATGCAACGGTCCATTAGTCCCTGTTTTGATGCCTCGGCTTGGCGTCATCATCGAGAACTTTGAGTAACGAGCTGACACCCTCGTATTAAATTTATTAAGGTCGCGTGGCTACGACGAGAAGCCTGCAATTTCGCGATTTAATACACAAGAAGGACTCGCGCGATTAACGAGAGTCTCGTTCGACGCGTGCGCATTAGCTGGGGCGATTAATGTGAAAAAAAAATATATCTATATATATATATATATATATTTTACCAGCACGCGCTCGCGCATTCGTGTCAAGGAACTTCGTCGGAAGTCTCTAGCTCGGGAAAGTTACGAATGCTTTAAATATACGAAAAACACGCGCTTTTCTGCACGAATACGAAACATTCTAACGTCATTAGAAAATAAGAAAAATAATATACAGGATATCATTATACGTTAGATCTACATGATCTTTCGATATTAAAATCACATCGTTTAATACACTAATTCCGCAATAAAACATTGTACAAAAATCGATGCTTCAGAACCAGAAGTTGCGTTCGCATTATTCCCGCAATGTCCGAAGTGACGTTGCTTATCGCAAATCTCGCTGCGCGCGAGGCCGGAACAATAACCAGCTAAAATTCCGGGTAAGTCTCTCGTTCCTTTTGGCATTAATGTCTTTTTATCGAACAAGCGTGATACGACGGTTGTGCCGTGCAATTTGTATTGTCTCGGATATATCGTTCTATCGCACGTCGGCAAAACCGATGTGCCGGCGAAACCTTCTGGCCTAACGGTGCAATTGCATCGCGCGCGCAGCGGAGGGAGGGGGGAGGAGGGGAAAGTCACTTTCCCGCCACGTGAAATTGTCCGGGCACGATCCAGATAAGGCATCCAGCCAGTATCAATTACAGGGGCGAACGGCGAGTAGCGACGGCGACGGGGTGTATAATGGCTGGCCCGGATAATACTTTAAGTCACACTCGAGAACGAGCGAGCAAGCGAGTACTATCGCCCTTCTTCGATCATTATTGCTCTCTTTCTCCCGACGGTACGCCTAATTACTAATTATTACGACGTAATTGTGCGACATTACTGCTCGCGTTACCGCCAGCGTTGCTGCGTAATCTGCATGCGAGGGCGGACTACATTATTCGCGCTTACACTTCGCAACCGCGCTTTAGCGGAGGCAGGCACTGTGTTGCGTTGTGAACCTCGCTTCGAATGTTAACTTGCTAAGTTTAGTTCGCTATTTTTCTCGCTGCGCGATCGACGCGATTTTTGACGACGAAACACGATTTGCAAGATTCAGATAAGGATAAAAGATAATGTATTAAAAGATTTGTACTAGAATATATTTCCTTCATCGCGACGAATATCGATTATATAAAGAATTAATTGAATCGTTGGCTATAAATGCAAATGATACTATTTTATCAATTTGCCTTAATTTTAATGATTTCATATTTAATTTAACGGAAAATACTCAC